GAACTCAAAAACACAACTTTATTGCTGGACAGCAGAAATACAAAACTAACCAAACTTGGAATAGACATGAAACTAAACAGGCAGGGAGGGAGGCAGAACCACAGAACCATAACACTAAGAACCAGAAACATGAATGATTAAATTAGGAAGCACACACCAAGGCAAAGAAACAAAGATCGCCCCCATAATAAATAAGTTACAAAAGTCCAAAAACACAAAAACACTGAGTCATGGCAATCCTCCTGGCAGTTAACACCTTACACTATATTACTCTGTTTGTGTGGGGAGACCCAATCCTTGGGCTGGACCTGTCATGTACCTGGGTCGGTGACCCAGTGTTTTTGAGTTTTGGACACTTAGGTTTTGGTTTCTCTCTCACTGTGTCTAGCCCCTTATCACTTTAGTGTTTGAGTTCTAGCTTTAGGTTTTGTTATGTGGCTTCCCTGTGTTTCCTGTTTTACTTTGAAGGTCCTGTCTCATGCTAGTGTATTCTGTTTTCCTTCCTTGTCTTGTCTAATTAGGTTCAGCTGTGTTCTCCTCTGGTGTGTCATTCCCTCATTACTTTGTGTGTATTTATAGTGTGTGCCTGCCTGTGTTCCTTGTTGCATTGTCTGTGTAACCTGGTGTAATTTCTGCGTCTCTCTGCCCAACATTCTCCGTGGCATTTCTGCTCTTCATCCCATGTTTGTATAGTTTCAGGTTTGTTCTTTAGTTGTTCCCAGTTTAGGGTATGTTTTAGTTTTGCACTCGCTTTTGTTGTGTTCACCTTCTACAACAAAGCTCACTCGCAACACAGCCAGTGCCAGCAGTTTGGGCCTTTCCTTCACTACACCACACGACTGTTGCCGCAGCTGTGACAGGACCGATTTTTGGCGCAGCGTGTTTAGGGGTTAAAAGCCACAGTGACACGCAGCGCCAAAAATTGGTGTTCAAAATTAATGATCAAAAAACTTACCTCACAGCCCAATGTTCGCCAGTGGTGCTATCAGGATGGTGGGTCTTTGACTCAGCACTTTGAGTTTATTTTATATTCATGATTCTTTCTGTTGCTTTATGAGTTTGGTTCTGCTTATTGTTCTGAGTTTATTTGTATTTGTATCATTCCTTGTCTTTGTCCACTTCCCGTGTTTCCTATATGAGAGTCTGTCTTGTCTGTGTATATTTCCCAAAGTCAAGTCTCTGTTTATTTCCTTTCGGTCTCTTTTTTGTTTTCCTATTTGTCTCTCTGTGTATCTCGCTCCCTCACCCTTTGTGTCTTAGTCATCTCCCTTGCCATGTTCCTCTCCTTGTGTTTCATCCTTTGTCTCCCCAAGTCTGTCTTCCATGTATGCTTCCATGTTTGCTTATCCTCATTTCAGCATCAAGCTCATGTGTTCTTGTCGCTTTTCAAAACTTTTGAATCCTGCAAAGGTTTGGCCTTCCTCCCGTCAGGATTAAGTAAAGTGCCTGTTTTGTGTTTTGTTCCTAAATCCTAACTACAGCTGCTGTCTGTACTACATAACTCCATAACTTCGTAGGTAACTTGTTCTCTATTAGCATACACCTTGGCATGTCAAACTGTGTGGTCTCATGTCTGACCACACTGTGGCTGGAGTGCTTACATTGGTTCCCACAAGCTTACACTCCATCACACTTATCTTTCATAACATAATGGAATAGTAATCAGTGAACTATAATCTAAGCCCGAATCTGTCAAGTCTATGATTTAACTTATTCTGCTAAGATCTGCGGGTACTGTTCTAAAGGGAGCATGTTTGGTTTTTGTATCAGGCTTCCTGTTCCCAGTCGGAACAAATGTTTCCTCTGTGCAAGCATGTACGCTGTAGTAGCAGATAAAAGTGGGACTGATTACCCAGTCAAAAGAAAGGCTACTACCTTTCAAAAGAAAGCTGAGAAGAGCACAACTAACAGGTCTATAATGGTGTAGCTATCAGCAGCTGTTACAGACAGTGAGTCATGGTCAGATCCAATACTTTATCAATGAACGACGTGTTCTAACGTCTCTCTCACTCTCCATCTCTCTCTCTCTCCCTGTCATTTATTTTGCTCGACACAAATAATAATAAATTGCGCAGTGATAAACAAGTACTCAGATCACATGTGCAATTGTTATTTACTTATATTATTTTATAATTTGACTTTACATACTGCTGGGTGGTTTGTAAAGTTCACAGTAACTAATATTATCATTATGCTACATTTATGTGTCTATATAGATATATATCTATATATAGATAGATATATAGATAGATGAGAGAGCTATCTGAATCTGTCTAATATCCCCCGAATGGATTGTTAATTTATAAATTCACCATATTCATAAACGTCTTAATAATAAATTCTATTTTCTGTTACCACATTATTTGTGATCAGTGGGTTTGCAGGGTGGGTGCTGGGGGTCTTTAGGCTTTGGCCCCCACCCCTGCCACCAGAATATTTTTAAGCAAGTGTTTCTAACTTTAATTTGAATATTCAGTATCCCACCATCTGCCCCCACCCCCCGCACGCGCACACAAACAAAACACACAGTATAATTCACACCCTCATTAAAGTGAATATTATTTATGCCATTTTACACCAACGAACTCAGATAGCTAAGGATGAAGAACCTTTTGTTCTTTAAAGAACCATTTGTAATAGCTAAAGAACCATCTTCAAAATAAAAAGGTTCTTTGATGTATGATGGTTCTTTAAAGAACCATAGAGACATCTGAAGAACCATTTAAGAACCCTAATTTTTCTGAGTGTAGGGTCAAAAAAATCAGATTTGATGCACTTTCGCCTGCAGTGTGAACGTAGCCTAAGGGTTTTCACTTAACCAGCATTTGTCCTTCTCTCCTGGATCACAGGAGCTTTCTTAAGGTGTCTTCCCAGCCTTGACAAATGTCCAGCTGGGCTGACCACATTTACTCAAGCTTTTCTTGACGTGACATTCTTTTGCTTCAAAATCGCTGATGAATAGGGGCTGATTGGGACCTGATGAATGTAAAAACAAAGAATTACCAGATTTATTTGTATTTTTTTACCTGATTTTTGTTTCTGGGAGAAATGAGGACATTTGTTTTGAATTTCGATGGAACAGTGGGAGTATAATGTCCTCGTAAGTAGATATCAGGCCCTTGTAGAGCAAAATTTTGTATTTTGGTCTAGACTACCCAAACTGTGATGTCCACATATGTGGACGCCAGGTCCTAGGAGAAAACTTTAACATATTTAAATGATGCCTTCTCTGTGTGGTTAATGAATGGTGAAATTAAAAGTGTCACATAGGCTCTTACAAGTCTACAAGTGCAAAAAAAAAGAGGACGGTTGGTCACCCTAGATAAGTAAGATTTGGCATGTCAGGGGACTCATTGTGCAGTTTGCTGTGGCAGACGCAACACAAGGTATTATCTTGCCCTCCTTTGCAAGCTCAGAGCAATAAAATCACATGCTAAATGTCAAATACTGCTACAAAGCTTTGAGATTACAGTTATTTACGGTAACTGACTGTTAATGTTTAAACCCTAAATGTCTCAGGTTTTGCTCAGTTCACCTTAGAACAGCACAAACTACTGGGTCAAAATATCTGTCATTGTAATTTTCACAATTCCTGGAAAGATGTTCAGTCTACTAGAATGAATCATTTACTTTCTGCTGTTTACTTTCTTCCCTTGTCACAGAGGGTCGCCGATTGAACAGTTATCCAAATAGCATATTTTATAGCTCAGAAAATGTAATGAAAGCCTCGAACTTCCAGTGAATGTTATTTGTTGTACTTGCTGAGTAAATCCAAAAATCGTAGATTTCTTTTAACTCATTTTACCTTAATTTTTCACACCTTAATGGTTCGGTTAAAAAAGACAAAGACAATAAACTTGTTGGCATAGTTCTGTATTTCTATATTTCCTGAAGTGTCGCCCAACTTCGTCGAGTCTCTGTGGCGCAATCGGTTAGCGCGTTCGGCTGTTAACCGAAAGGTTGGTGGTTCGAGCCCACCCAGGGACGTGCTTTTCCATAATTTACTTGTACTGCAAAGGTTCTTTATGTTATATTTAAATTCATTTTCACATTCATATTGCCAGATAAGAAAGAATGTGTTTAACACCATATTTCTCTGTGGTGAAAACAAAATGGCCTTAAAATGGTAATGGTAAATGGCCTGCATTTGTATAGCGCTTTACTTAGTCCCTAAGGACCCCAAAGCGCTTTACACTACATTCAGTCATTCACCCATCACACACACATTCACACTCACATTCACACACTGGTGATGGCAAGCTACATTGTAGCCACAGCTGCCCTGGGGCGCACTGACAGAGGCGAGGCTGCCGGACACTGGCGGGCGCCACCGGGCCCTCTGACCACCAGTGATGCATAATTTTGATATTTCGAAGGCGTCTGTTATTCTTCCTGCAACTACAGCCTACGCTTTGCGACTGTAGTAGTGGCTGTTCAGTGTCTCTTTTTTAGTTTTAGTGTTTAAATGACAATCTCCTTATTTAAAAAAAAATTCTCTATATGATGATGACAGTGCAGGAAACCATGTTTTGTCTCCTTTCTAGTCACTAAATATAATTTAAATTTAAGAAACGACTGCATTTTTAAAACGATATGACTTTGGCTCCCAACAGATTTTAGTATTGGTTTTACAGTTCTAAACACTTTTTTGATTAGAAGTTCTGTTACGAATTGTTATTTAAATATTTATTTTTGTGGTACTTAATGTTCTTATTTGCTCTTCTTGTGTGCAGGGCTCTGTGACTGTTTCTGAAAAGCCCTAAATAAATTTACTTAGTTTCAAACAGTTCAAACAGTTCTCAGTGCCTTTAGCTTTGGTTACTGTTGTTCGTCCTGCTTCATGCAAGTTGAGATTACTTTTTTAGAACTCTCTGTTAGTTTGCGGTGTCCCCGTTTTGTCCAGACTTAACCTGTTTTGAAACATCTGCCCTCTGTAATCTCGGAGCAGAGTCGGAAAATCTCGTCACCGATGTAAAATAACGGCTGCTGTCATGTGACCCCAGAACAGGTGATAAAAACTCTTTTCCTCTCAGAGAGGGCAGTAGAAGAGGGCTTCAGGATGTCTGTACCTGGAAGCTTCTCGGTGCTCCGTGTCTTGTGGTTGCTATCAGTGTTTGGCACGGTGCTCTCGCTGGACGGCGGCATGCTCTTTCCTCAGGAGTCCTCCTTCAGAGAGGTGAAGGAGCTGAACGGGCTGTGGGATTTCAGGGCTGACGGGTCCCCCAACAGGAACGAGGGCTTCGAGAAGGCTTGGCACAAACGTCGGCTGACAGAGGTGAGCGGGATCGGAGGTGATAGGTCAGATGAAACAAATCAGTCTACGTTGTTTTACTTGTTTTACTGTTGACATGGATACAACGGTCGCATACAGTACTCTCGGTAAACAAGAACTTTTAAACATTTTGCAATTATGTAGATTTATACCAAAAAAGAAAATCTAAAAGAAAATTTGAATGTTTTGAATTGAATATTTGAGGAAGTATCCTTGGTTTTGGTGTTTTCAATTTTTTTTTAAATTTTGAAACTGAAACTAAACTGAATTAAAAACAAACATTCAGATCCCCCCCCCCTCCCCAATAAAAAAGGAAAAAAAACAACAATAAAATAACTATGTAAACAACACAGCAGTAAGGCATGCATAAACTTATCAGTTTGACTCACAGTCGTAACTAAATATTTTTTGGCTTATCAGCCCTTTAAATGCCACACAATAGGATATATTCCTGTCAGACTGTGCCTCCTTTTGAGGTCTGTAGAGACATTTAGAGCTGAAGATGTTCACAATTTTAGAAAAAGAAAAAAATAGAAAGAAACATTTTTAAAATGAGAACAAAGGTTGAAATTTTATATTAATAAGTCTCATCTTGTTAGGGCCAGACTCCCAGGAAGGGAGCTTACCATGACCTCAGAGAATCAAAATGACCTCAATTAGATGAATATGTATATTGTCTACTTTAAAATTAATAATAAATAATATAATATAATAAACATGGCTACCATGGGTATCCCTGTAAAGTCCTGTCTTCTTATTGTTGTTTTGTATTCTTTAGACGGGCCCAGTGATTGAAATGCCAGTTCCTGCCAGCTACAATGACATCACACAGGACCCCACACTGAGAGATTTCATTGGCTGGGTGTGGTATGAGCGAGAGGTGTTCGTGCCGGCCCGCTGGATCTCCGATGAGGGAACAAGAGTAGTTCTTAGAGTGGGAAGTGCTCACTATTACTCAATAGTGGTGAGTATCACCTGCATCTTTTATGAGCCATTCACTCAAAGTTTGAATAAATTCAAATATAAAAAGTTATCATCCGCCACAAAAATCATTTTAAAAATCATGTTGTTTATTTGAAAATATTACAGATAAACACATCATGTAACGAAACACATGTTTTCTTGAAAAAATATGCTTACTTTACAAAAAATCTGGTACAGCAGCAGACGAATTTCTTGATATAAGATCTCACCGACTTAAGAGTTTGCTTAATATTTTGTGTTTTCAGTGGGTAAAAAAGCCTGGACTGTTTAGAACCTAAACTCATTAAACCTGTGGATTAATGCTGTTGTAATACATGCATTTTGCTAAAATAAGGAAGAAATGTATTGTTTCAAAATACATCCTTGCTTCATTGTAAATAAGATTGTGTATCACTAAATTTCAGCTCATGTAAAACGGTGATCATTCTCTGTTGCAGTGGGTGAATGGAGAGAAAGTGACAGAGCATGAAGGTGGCCATCTTCCTTTTGAGGCAGAGATTAGTAGTTTAATCCGCAGGGACCCAACAAAGCCATGCAGAATCACCATCGCGGTAAACAACACCCTAACTTTGGAGACTCTTCCTCCAGGCACCATCCAGTACATGAATGACAGCAGCAGGTAGGCTCTTTCTTTGGTTCATGTGTTTGTCCAACCTAATATTATGGCAAAGCAAGTAATAGGCACGCTGGTCCATTTCACACTTTGCCTCTACAAAACATGAAATGTACACGCAAACAGAAGTTGCAGTAAGTTGCAGTAAAGGACCTGGAATGTACGTCATATTTTTTTTGCTTGCCTTTACATATATTATCTTCCCCTGCTAGTAATGCAACTTCTGCACGTGTGTCCTGCAAAGCGTGAAATGGACACAGTGGACCAGAGTGTCTATTACACACTTTGTGTGATACTGGGTTCTTTTTGACTTCCTTGCCACACTTCAAAACTTTAAGCTGATGCATCAGTGAGAATGTAAATGACGAGAAGACTGTGTTTGGTCTGCAGGTATCCTGATGGGTTTTTTGTGCAAAACATTGACTTTGATTTCTTCAACTATGCTGGGATTCATCGTTCTGTACTGTTGTATACTACTCCTAAAGTGTATGTGGATGACATCTCAGTGGAGACCAACTTCATGGATAACACTGGTAAATTAAATTGATTAATACAATGATGCACAGTGATTTAAAATCCTTACTAGCACAAAAGAATTTGTAAGCAGGTAAACTGATGTACAAAAACTTAGAGAGATTAGCATCCGCATCATATACATCAGACTTTAAATGTGCAGTTTCTGTCTATTCATTAGATGTTGCTGTTTCCTCTGCATTGTAGGTCTTGTCCGATACAAAGTATCTGTTCAAGGTGGCTTCAGCAACACTCTGAACATTACTCTAATGGACAAAGATGGCCACTTTGTGGCCTCCTCCAATGGGTCATCTGGAGGGCTTAAAGTGGTAGATGTGAAGCTGTGGTGGCCGTACTTGATGCACGAGAATCCAGGTTACCTTTATTCTATGAAGGTAAGGCAACATGCTCACAGGCATGTAGGTGTGTTTCTGCAGTGTGATGTGGTTTGACTGAGCATTGCCACTCGATTTGTCAGGTTGTGTTGTTTCGATTATTCTAACATTTTCTCTTCAACATCGAGGTCCACCTAATTGCAGTCAGTGAGACATCAACATATGAGGATGAGTATACTCTGCCAGTTGGTATCCGCATAATAAACGTTACCAACACCCAGTTCCTCATTAACAACAAGCCATTTTATTTCCATGGGGTCAATAAGCATGAGGACTCTGACGTAAGTACCCCTAGAAGGATGAAACTCCTTTAAATTTTGCAGAAAATAGGCTCCAATGACCATATGTTTACTTTTCTGGTTTTAATGTGTTGTAGATTCGTGGTAGAGGCTTTGACTGGCCCCTAATTGTAAAGGACTTTAATTTAATGAAGTGGTTAGGGGTCAACTCATTCCGTACCAGCCACTATCCCTATGCTGAGGAGATCCTGCAGATGTGTGATCGTCATGGGATTGTGGTGATAGATGAGTGCCCAGGTGTTGGCATCAAAGACATGTAAGTGTTACCACACATATCTGTGTGACCTTTGGATATGTTTGAGGGTTCAGTAAGGTCAAAAGTGAAAGATTCTGTTTGCCACAGCATATGAAGACATAGAGAAAACTGCACATGCTGTCCAATACCACCCCTGCTGAAACTCTTTATGAACTTCATGCTGCCCAAGTTAGAATTGCCAAAAAATGTTACACACTATTGTGACCAATAGGAATACTGCATGAAATGACATGTGATTGTCATAGGCTATAAGCATTCAGTCTGCATATCAAACTTGACTTCATTCCTAAGTTAATTACAGCTATGTCACACAGTGTATCTGTCACGGTCTGGCTGGCAGACCGTGGGGATATGGGGAATGAGGACCCAGGCGCAGTGCTCTGTGTATAGACAGTGCGTTTATTTACAGTGATGGAAAAACATGACAATAAATCCCGTGCTCTCCCGACTCCCGTGACGTGTCCTCTTCCCAGTGTTAGTGCTCCTGTCTCCGCTTCTCCATGATGAGCAACCCGTGCTCGCTGCCCTCTCGTCTCCCGCTACTCCTGGGGACATAAGAGAGAGGCAGCTGTCAGACACACAATAATGCAGGAGACTCAAACTAAGAACTGGTCGAGAGACTAACGTGAAGCCACGCAATGATCCAGCATCGGAGAGAGCTCCACCACACTCTCAAGTAGCTCCTCCGACAGGCCTGATCAACTGCAGGTGTGTCAAGGTCTTCAGGTGTGGCCAATCACTTGCCAGGGCCACACACACACACCTACATGCACATATGTCTACAAGCAGGGAGAACGAGGGACAGCAATACAAAATACATACATTATAATATTAGTCCATAATTGCTCAGAGGACCCTGACAGTATTAGACAATAAGATGACTGTCTGCCATACACATGTTTACAGTTTTTTCTGATTGCTTAAGCACATTTTTTGTAACTATTGGCTA